AATACATAATTTTGCGTAATTACGCCTTAATTACGCGAAACTAGACTTTCTTTCGTAAACGTAATATATGCGTAATTACGCGTAATGCTCCTGCGTAAGTGAGAGAAAGTGTTACGTTTCGTTACGCGTAATTACGCGTAACGAAATTACGACTGGAAACCCTAATTCCTACAGCAGATAAGTCACATGAAGTTAAAACAAATCTGTTTTCAAAATTTAAAGCATTTATACTTATTTCATTTTTGATCAGTCAAGGCTTTTATGGGTACGGTTGTAAATAATAACAGCAACACCAGTAACAACAATAGCAACAGCAACAACAGCAACAACAGTAACAACAGCAACACCAGTAACAACAGCAACAACAGTAACAATGATAACAACAGAAACTACAGTAACAATTGTCACAACAGCAATTACTACAACAACAGTAAAAACACTAACAACAGTAACAACAGTAAACAGCAACAACAGTGAAAACAGTAACAACAGTAACAACAGCAACAACAGCAAAAAAGAAACAACAGTAACAACAGCAACAACAGCAACAATAGTAACCACAGTTGTAGTAAATGCCTTACTTGTAAAACTACTTCGAGACCCGTATCAATCCAGGTACAACTCGTAAACTATCAATGCCAAACACGGGCACAATCTCATAGGCTTCAATGTCGACACGGACAAAAGCTTGTAAACTATTGATGCCAAACCACTGGGCACGATCTCAAAGGTTTTAATGTCAACACGGACACAAGCTTGTAAACTATCAATTCCAAACCACTGGGCACGATCTCAAAGGCTTCAATGTCAACAAGGACACAAGCTTGTAAACTATTGATTCCAAACCACTGGGCACGATCTCAAAGGTTTCAATGTCAACACGGGCACAAGCTTGTAAACTATTGATGCCAAACCTATAGGCCCGATCTCATCAGCTCGTTCTTTCAACCGAGGAACAGATTACTCTCTTACAGAAAGTGTCTTAGCCTAACCTAACTTTAAATATAAAATAATTTTGTTGAAATTTTGTGTTGAACTATTTTTTGCTCATTTAAACAATTTTTCGGTCTTTTGAATTATTTTTTTGTCCATGGTGAAATATTTTTTGATAATTTAAACTATTTTGAAATGATTGTTTGACCTATATTTTTTCATTAGGTATAAAAATTTTAAACTACATATTTAATAGTTCAAATGAGTAAATAATGTGTTGTTTGAAGTACAGGAAATGGCTTCATTGTCAGTAGTTAGAATAAACAATAGTTCAAACAATCAATAGTTCAAATTATCATTAATTCAAACGTCAGTAATTAAAATGCGGATCCTCCATGTTTCCAAAAATTTAAAAACTTTTTTTATTAATTCAGTTACGGAATTAAAGCCCTAGAGAAAAGAATATATAATAAGTCTCATGTTAATATTTGTCACAAGTAAAAATAATAATGTGCTCTACACGCGAATACTCCCTTTAAGTCTAAACATATCAAAATGTGTTAGTTTACACTTTTTAATAATTTAATTAAACATTTTATAAGTTGCATGAATTGGAGGAAAACTTTAAATTTATTAAAATACGAACAACATTTCATATTCAAGAAATGAATGAATGTTTACCATATTATCAGCAATTTAGTGTTTGATTTCTTTGGTTTTATTTTGAAATTAAAAACTAAAAACAGAAGGAACGCCTGAAATATTTCAAAAATATAATATTTAAATATTAAATATTAAAAATTAAAAATTAAAGATCAAAAAGTATCGGTGTACAGGCGTTATAATTTTTTTTACTGGGTATATTTGTAATTATGTATTTTAAATGATTTCACCCTTGATGGTTTGTTTGAAAACAAATCATAAATATAAGAATACGCTGGTGTTTTTAAGAAAATATTGAAATAACAGTTTTGGTATGAATTGTACATATTTTTTAAATGGTTATTCTCTAAAGCCAGATTTTCGCCCAAAAAAAACTATTTTATTCTATGTTTTGAAAATAAATATAATATTCAGCATATTATAGGATTTGAATAAAAACCTACTCCATTAAATATTAATATTACCAGTTTTGCTTCACGATATAAAAATATAACACAATTAACACGAAACGATTACTTTATAAAAATAATAAAATAAAATCAAATGTTTATAGGAACACAGTGTAGGGAGAAAGCATCATGTTACGAACCACTCCACTGCACCGTGCTTGGTCAGAGAACCTACTCGACTGTCCTGACCTACTCCCTTATCTTCCAGGTTCAGAACGTGGGATGCTGTCCTAGCCAAGCCTGGCTCTCCCTTATCTTCTAGGTTCAGAACAATGAACCCAGGCTATCCCTAGCGTGGGATGCTGTCCTAGCCTAGCCTGGCTCTCCCTTTTCTTCTAGGTTCAGAACAATGAACCCACGCTATCCCTAGCGTGGGATGCTGTCCTAGCCTAGCCTGGCTCTCCCTTATCTTCTAGGTTCAGAACAATGAACCCTGGCTATCCCTAGCTTGGGATGCTGTCCTAGCCTAGCCTGGCTCTCCCTTATCTTCTAGGTTCAGAACAATGAACCCACGCTATCCCTAGCTTGGGATGCGGTTGGTAAAGTTCTCTTGACTTTTAATCAAGTAATCCAATTTATTTGAAAAATTTCAGAGCAGGAATTCGATAATGAAAATGGATAAAATATTCAAACATGAGGAAAAGAAATGAGTGTTTGCCACAAACTTTCCCTATATCTTTGTATATCTGTTAGATCAAATAGCCTAAGTTTGAAATAGCATTGATTAACACCATTAGGTTTCAAAGATATAAGGATTATAAATTTTGAGTTTGTGGCGAGAACTCAATTCTTATGCAAGCTTTATTTGATTTTGGTTTAGAATCAGATGTAGATTTTGGGTTTTGAGTGATATCAATACATGCATAAAAGCAATGAGAAACTTGATCAACCTACTTTTATAGAATAAATATTGAAAATAAAACATTTTTTTAATGAAACAAATTCAAAACAGAATTTGCATCCTAAATGTATCCCAACTTTGTCCAGTTTCTAGGTCACATATACTAAACATATTATAGAGGACGTGAGTCAGACTCTAATAAAAACGCATAAATAACTTCCAGTATATATATTTCTTATAACTCATTACTAGAGGGTTCAGAACTAGAGTCAATATCGATATCACATGTGTAGATGATTTATCAGTACTATGCCCCGTATCCGTTCTATCTCATTCTGTTGAATCTTGTGGAACTTGTTTAATGCAGCCAGGCATAGTCTTCCACAATATTTTTATTTTCTATATTTTAATGATTTTCCCTGTAATATTTTTAATTTTAACTTTTGTTTAAAATATATAACATCTTCTTTAAAAACTTTTAATTGTGGCTCTATAAGACTTCTTTGTTTTACATTGTAAAACGAAAGCAAAAGAGTTTTCCAAAAATGTTTACTAAATTAAAACCATTTGGAGACAACTTTATCTAATTCTGATAATCCATTAACATCGCAGCATTAAAGCAAAGTATATATATATATTTTTCTTTATATATAAAAGTACATTTTGTAACCACAATATTTTTAACTACAAGGTTAGATTTAATAGGAATGGATTAGCACAGCTAGCTCAGATTTTATGTTTAAGAACAAAATAAAGTGAATACTATGTTACACTGAAACCAATTAATAAAAACTTAACCCTATTAAAAAATGTATGAATAGCCTGGGTGGTGTCTCATGTCCGCCCCGATTAACAGTTTGGATCAAATAGGTTGTCAATCTATTTGTTTTGGATGCCATGTAGGGTTAAAAAAAAATGCCAAGAAAAGGTTGGAGAAACATTAATAAAAAATTTTGTTTTGTTTTTGATAAATATTAAGACTTGTGACATTTGTTTTTCGATCAATTTTTAAGGCTATTTAAAACTGAAGTATTTAGTTCTGTATGTTTTAAAACAAAAAAAAGTATGGGCTAGTTTAGATTCTTTTTTAACACACACCGGCCTTTCTACTGGTCTGCGTGTTGCCATGTACCCTGAACATTTCACATACATTCTTTAAATTACATTTTTTTATATATCCAAGGTGATAGTGTTAAAGTAAGAGCGCTTGACGCCCCCCTTCTATTGTTTTTGTCCTGGCACTCTCAATTTTGACACTTTCACTGTTAAATTTTTTGATTTTTAATGAAGAGAAATTTAACGGATTTTTTTGTAAAAAAAAACACTTTTTTTGTAATGCATAGGGTAGGTATAAAGTCCGGTCTTTGATAAAAAAATTTAGAAAAGCCCAAAACCTTGTTGTACTTAAAGCTATAGATCTAAAAACTATATTTTTGAAAAGCCCCTGAAAACTGGATGTAGATTCATACTTTTACATTCCTTTCCTGTTAGTAAGACTTGTTGTTAATTATGTATTACTATCAAGATTTATCATAAATTATTCATATGACCATTCTTACATAGATATTAAATAATTTTTGAATTTATAAAATATCAGAATTCTTTTAAAAATTTCTTGAAAAAGTTTTATGATTTATGATGGTGTCCATTTAATTCTGTGACACCTGTGATATGAATGATTACACAGGTAATTATCAATAATTAGGTATGGACTATGGATAGAAAAAAAAACTAAATATACATCTGGATAATATTTTATTCATAAATGAACCAACTTCATATAACAGTTTAGTTGATTAGAAGAAACTATAGTATGAGTTTCTTCACTTTTTTGCTCCTTTTTCCAGGTTTAATTTTTTAATTTTTAAAACTGATCCATTTTTTAAAAGTTCTTTCATTTCTTGTTTTTGCAACTATAAAAGAGTCATAGAAACACACAGATCTAAAAAGTTTTCAAGTCTAGGTCAAATTTTGAGCACAATGCCTAGGGTTGTTAATCATTTTTAAAAACGATTATTTTTTAATGCAACCGTTTTTATTAAAGTCTATAGTTTTTAAAAAAAAATTCGCAAACGAATCTGAGTTATCTTACAATTTCTTTCAATTTTTTTTCTTCAGAAAGATAAGGTTATGAATGCTTTCTTAAATGAAAAACGTTATTTTTAAAAAAAAACTATTGACTTCAAAAACGATAATTTTGTTTTTTCTTTGTCGTTTTCAAAACGAAACAATTTTTTTTCAAAAAGTTATAACAATCAATCTCTAGCAAGGCGTTTTGCCTTTGATAAAATCTGTCAAACTAAACATAAAAATAGTAAAACTCTAAAGCACTTTTAACCCTATTAACCCTGGAGGGAGGGGGGGGGGGTTGATAAATCAAAAAATATTTGAGCTAGGAAGCTCAATTTTTCTGATATGAAACCAGACGTCAGGGTAAAAAGTTCTAAAGAAATGACAGATTATAGATCTTTTCCCTATTTTTTATTTTTTTCAACATCTAAAGTATGAAAGTGATTACTTCACTTACAGTAATTTTAAAACATAGAGATATTGTCAAAGAAAGGATATTGGAAAATTGTTGAATTGGAGTTATATACTGTTGCCCAATTATTTTTCAACAGAGATTTAAATTTTACCAAATTTGAAGAAAATGTAATTTGTCCCAAATTTTGAGTTTTACATATCTGTCCTATTTTTTAATCAAGGATTTTAATCAAATTTGTGATATTTTTGCATACATCAATCAAAATACTGCAAAAAAGCCATCAGATCATTTTTTAACATTTTTTCAATTTGTTTTTATGAAAATAGATTGCTGAACGTTCAATAATAAACCTTCACAGACTTGACTACTGAATGAAAATGTAAAGTTTAAATCTCATTTCTGACTTGAATTTAAAGTGTAACTTGCCGATTTTGATGTGTTAAATAATTTTAACTCATGATTTCCTGCATTTTCCTCAATTTTCTATCAATCAATCATCATTTAGCTGAGAAAGCGGCATTAAAAGAAATTGATTGGTCACACATTCTGATTTTCTAACCTTTATATTTTTACAACCCGATTTTGTAGACCTTTGAAATTTCAAACTTTGATTTTTGGTAGATCAGTCAGCCTAATGTTGAAATATCAAAGGTCTCCAAAAACTCTACTTCTTTGAAATGTATTTAAATGTGAAACCTTTGAATGACTAAATTTGATGCTTTAGATTAAAACATTTTTTCTTCCCCATAAAACAAAAAAATTGGATTGGAACTGAAAATATGTTTTGTTTTTTTGTTACGTGAATACTTTGATATTACAAAACAGTTGATGAGGGATGGTTGCATAATGTCTTGCTAAAGAATGGATTTAGTATGGTGCTTTGAATGATCAATGACAATGAGGTTGTTCATATGAAATTTCCTTTAACCCTATTTCTCCAATCACATCAACCAATCTATGTGCACAGAAAAAAGTTAATAATTTTATTTTTCCTGAAAACAGAGTTCATTTAAATTACACAGCTGTTGAAAATTAAATGTTTCATCATATCTAAATAAGAATTTGTTTGGCAACCATGCTTGACTATCTATTTATTTAAACTAAATAAGAATGTAAAATCACACAAGGTTGCCAAAAAATGTAAAGATGAGTGAGGGTTCAAAAGAACTTTGAGAGAACAGAACCAAATATTGATTGAAATAATTTGTTGCACTTTTAGTGTATCAAAAAATTTCAAATTTTTGTCTTATTAAATAAATATTTTCTTTCCTTTAATTAGGAGTGATCGGGAACTCCCTTGTTTTTGTGAGTCTTCAGAAGAGTAGTTCAGTGTGCTGCATGAGTGCTAAAGTAAAGACATGTAATGTGGCATCAGTTGACCCATCTATGCTTGGAAAAGGAACTTTGACATTACCAGGAGATATTACCGTTTCATTCCTTAATATGGTTGCTGGGAACCCAAATGCATATCACTACGGAAGTGATGTTGCCAATATCATCATCACACATAATCCAAGCACAGGTGGCATTCATGGTCATTTCATGACATCAACGGGATTATCCTATACCCTGGAATATTGTGGAGATGCAGGGCATGTATGGAAAGAAGTTGATGTTCAAAATCTTGGTTCCAATGAGGGAATTGATTACGTTGATGTCCCAGAAATAGCCGTTGATCCTCTAGAAAGAGTTGTCAATCCACAACTAGTTCATGATGACTTTTTAAGGCAAGGTTTAGCTGACAACACTACTATTTACACATATTCTGTCAAGTTTTACTATACCCCATCATTTTTTGCTGTAACTCCTGACATTGAAGGATTTATAGATCAAGTACTAGCAGAAACTAATCAAGGATATGCAAACAGCCTGGTTCCCTTGAGGGTTGTAAAACATTGCTCAGAGCTTACAACCATAGATGATGTTCCAGCTTCTTCTGATATGTTAAATAACTTTAGATACATGAAATCCTCCACATCTGAACTCAGAGGATCTGCAGACGCTGCAGCTCTTTTGATAAACGACTTCAGCTCTTGTGGTATTGCTTACCTAAATGTAATTTCTAGTGGTAACATGGTTTCTGTAACAAAGAAAAGTTGTGCTGTCGGGTATTATTCTTTTGGCCATGAAGTTGGTCACAACATTGGGTTGCACCATGATCCACTAGTAGCAACTAACACTGTATATCCTTATGGGCATGGCCATATGATTGCACAAGGAAGTGCTAATACTGGATATAGAACCATACTGGCTTATTCAGCAACAGGACACAATACCAGAGTCAATTACTATTCAAATCCTAGTGTTATATTACCAACCACTGGAACACCCACAGGAGTAAAAGGGATTTCAGACAATGCTGCTCTTTTAACTTTAAACAGGATTAGCTTGTCTGCTATTGGTGATGAGTCTACAGCATGTTCTACAGCTCTAACAGCTGCACCAACCACTGCTGCTCCAACATTGGCACCAACCACAGCTGCTCCAACAGCATCACCACCAACAAACCCCCCCACAAGTGGTATTTGTAATACTGTCTCTGGAGCACAATGCATTTTCCCATTCAAATATAAAAATAGAATCTTTGACACATGTACAACCTCTGATGGAGATCCAAAACCATGGTGTGTAACAGCACTTTCTTCAAGTGGAAATATGGCAAATAGTACTTCTTGGGGATATTGTGCAAGTAACTGCCCTGGAGGTGAATCAAGTATTTTGTAAATATTCTCAATATTTAACCTAATGTTTTTAACATTTAAATGATTATTTTAGTTAGTTTACCAACCAATGTGTATGTTCATCCAGAAAATGCAGTAGGACAATGCAGTAAGTTTTTTTTTTAATTTTTACTTTGAATGCCTTTTAGTTTTTCACAGGTGTAAATATTATTAGAATGTGGTGTTCCAAACACAATGGGATCTACAAAAATTGTTGGTGGTTGGGCAACTACAATCGGTGAATATCCTTGGCAGGTTAGTAATTCATAGCAGTGGAGAATTAAAACCATTTTCAACATGTTATTATTCATAGGTTGCTCTGCTTTTTGGAAATACAGTGGACTCACAAGGCTGTGGAGGAACATTGGTAGGAGATAGGCATGTTATCACTGCAGCTCATTGCACTGAAGGACAAACAGCTTCTTCAATTAAAGTATTAATAGGAGATACTAATCTTGCAATAGCCAATGACACAACACGGTTCATCAAGACTCTTTCAGAAATAAGGCAACATCCAAATTACAACAGTCAAACCACAGAAAATGACATTGCCATTCTTGTCTTATCTTCTACTGTTGATTTAAGAGCATATCCTAATATTAAACCTGCTTGTCTTCCTAATGCTGGTTCTATATCACAATTTGTTGGACAATCAGCTGTAGTGTCTGGATGGGGCACAGTCGGGTCAGGTCTGTCCTTAAATTCCCATCTCTTTGAAGTTAATGTTGAAGTGTATGGAAAAACAAATTGTGGAGTTCATACCAGCTCTATGACTTCAGACATGCTTTGTGCAGGTTTACTTGCAGGAGGCAAAGATTCCTGTCAAGGTGATAGTGGTGGTCCTTTAATTGCAAAAGATTCCACCAACAATGGTGCTGCAACTCTTATCGGTGTTGTAAGCTGGGGATTTGGTTGTGCCTCTGTAAATGCACCTGGAGTTTATTCTGATGTTACTCATTTTCGAAGTAATGGGTGGCTTTCGTCCAACCTTATCAACCTTAACACATGCTCACCACCACAATCTTCAACATGGACAATTCCAATGGGACCTTCACCAACATCAGCTCCAACAAACCCACCAGTGACCACTCCTCCTCCCACAACCCCTCCAGTGACCACTCCTCCACCGACAACCCCTCCAGTGACAACTCCACCTCTAACAACCGCACCAGTGACGAGTACCTCTCTAACAAACCCTCCTATAACCACACCAACTCCAACAAATTCTCCTGTAACAACCACCCCAACTGAATGTACAAGTGAAAACGGCATCACTAATCTAACCTTACTAAGGAAAATAAATAGAGTAGGAAATCAAAAAGCCTGTTATCAGCTCTGCCTAGATGAAGCAAGCTGTGACTATTGGTCTTTTTTCTACCATCGCCAGTTGCAAAGGCGACAGTGCAGGCTCTTCGCTATCACTTTCAAACCTTGGAACAACTGGACGAGTGGACCAAAAACTTGTTAATTATTCATTTCTAATTAAATTTGATTAAATATTTATTGGTAAATGATTTAGATAAATAAATTGGTATCATCTCTTTTAATGGCTTATGATTTATTTATCGGGTTTATTTATTGCATTGATATGTCTCTCAAGTACTGTATTTTTTTGGATTACAGTTTTTGACCTAAATTGAAGGGGCATAGGCTTGTGTGTGTTAGAAAAGCAACAACTTTTGTGCATCATCAGACCAATACTTTTAAGATTCATCAGCTCGTTCATGAAACCTGAGACTTTTGAACCACTCAAAATATGAATTATTCTTGTTATAATAAATTTCACTCTTACACCTAAAAAGATGTATTCTAATGCCTATCATTAATAATTTTGCAAAGCATTCTTATTTTGTTGATATTTTATAATGTTTTTGATGTTGTTTTTTTTTCAATTAATTTTTCACTTACAACTTGTTCTAAGCACCAGCGCTGAATTTTTTAACATTCCAAATTATGAAAATGTTGTCTTCATTATCAAAAATCCTCGAAACAGGAATGAATGTTTTCAAAGTAACTCTCAGATCATAACAATAAGAAATATTATAAATTATCAAATATATATGAATGTGTCCAAAAATTATTGTTGATAATAGGTTGTAAAATGATTTGTTTGGAATTAAATTGATTTGTTATGATCTCAGTCAAATAATACAATTTTCTTCGGTATGAGTCTTTTTTAACAATTTTTTCCTGATAGACGCAACGCATAAATAAAATTAGTAGCAATCACCAATAAAAATGTTTTGACAAAAGCCTATACTCCCTTTAATTTTTCGCAAACACTCCCTTTAAATTGAAATCTTATATTAAAATCTACAAAATAGAATGGAGTATAGAAAAAGTATTGAAATCTACTAAAAATTATTAAATATAGAAATGTATTGAATCTACCTAATATAGTGGAATATAGAAAAAAATATTTTAATATAGGTAATAACATGGAATATAGAATAGTATTAAAATCTTCTCAATGGAATATAGAAAAATATCAAAATCTACCTAATAAAATGGAATATAGAAAAGTATTAAAATCTACTTAATATAATGGAATATAGAATAGTATTGAAATCTTATTAATATATAATGGAATATAGAAAAATATTAAAATCTGCTTCATAAAATGGAATAAAGAATAGTATTGAAATTTTCTTAATATCATGGAATTAGGAATGGATCGTTTTTTTAATCATTTTGTTATGAAAACAACAACAAAAACAAAAAACAAAACGATCGTTTTTTAATGGAAATTGTTTAAAAAACGGTTGTTTTCAAAACGATCGTTTTTAAAAAGTTAGTCTTTTTGTAACAATCGTTAACAATCGTTAAAGACAACCCTTTATTTACGATCGTTAATGAAGAGAGGAGGAGAGAGGACACCGACCTGAAGGCCATCGTGCGGTACTTATCATCGAGTAGTTCTAAAGAAAAGGTACTTATCATCGAGTAGTTTTAAAGAAAATATCAAGAAGTTTTAGCTACTCCCTCCAATCTTAAACGTACTGTCGCTCAAACTTCCCCCTCCCCTCCCCCCTGAAGAATCTCGTTAATTTTATTCTATTCCTTCTTAAAAACTACTCCTAATGGTTGACATTAACTTTTTATAAAAAAAACTTCTTTTTCCCTTTTTTAAATGTTCAAAAATATATTATATCTCTGCAGAATTTTTTTGTTATTACATGTATTTTTTCCTCAATTTTTTTTTATAAAATAATATGGTTGTTTTTGTATAGAATTGAGAAACATATATAAAATATGAAAATATATTTTCTCCAAGTTCCATCAAGTAAATTTTGAAGCACTCTTTACCACAAGGGAATAGATAGCATAAGGTTTATGATTAAATACTTGATTGAAATACAAAAGATTAAAAGGAGGTTTTTACTGGAAAAATCGAGACTAAAGTTAGGCTATTCATTCTTTACACTCTACCTATATTTTTCATTAAAAAAAATAGTTTCTTTCAACATTTTATTTTAAATATGAAGTTGGTGGAGGGGGGGCTGAAAAAGTAATCTGAGATAAGGTTAAAGAACTTTTTAAAATTTTTTTCTTAATTTTTAGCAATATATAATAATATTGTTGTATTATTTAAGTCTGAATTTTGTGACACAAATTCTAACTAAACCTGGAAATTGCTCTTCCGAAAAAAGCTAATGGCCCAAACATTTTTTATTTACATTTTTGCACTCCATAACTAGGGCTGGGCACGTTCTGACTTTTTTGAACTCATTCCGTTCTAGAACAAGGGCCTTCAGCTAGATCGTTCCGTTCTTGTTCCTTTTTTCCAATCGTTCCGTTCATCTTGCGATCTCTACCGTTCCATTCTGTTCTGAGTAAAAGAACAGTCATCCCATTTCGTTGCGTTCTTGGCGTTCCTAGTCAAAGAGCGGTTCCATCTCTCTTGTTCTGTTCTTAGTAAAGAACGATTTCTTCCAAGACAAAAGTTTTATATAAAAAGTTGGTTAAAAAAGTAAAAAAAAAAATACGATTTTATAATAAAAAGTTCCTCACGGCCGTAAATATAACTTTAGGGTTAAAAAAAATAAGCTTAGATAATTTCTGGGCTTAGCAATGTATAATTTTGTGAGAGCGGGGGGAGGGGAGGAGTCCTAAAATCCTTAAAGGGACCGTTCACTTATTTGGGTAATTTCAGGGTAAACTGAACTGCCTATTCGCTCTTGATTGGTAATAGTCTTACTTTTCAAATACAACTGTGGCCGGAGAAAAAGCCGATCTTTCGTTCAGAATTTGAGCGGAAAGGAACGGTCCCTCTCTATAGACACTATTTGATGTTTTTTTCAGTAACAGCAGCCCAATAAAATTTAAATTTATTATATTTTAATGTCATTATGTGTTCGTTGTTATGAACTAAAATATGAAAACTTTTGATATTTGAGTTAGCAAGAAATTTACGTTTTTCGTATTAAAACATGTAAAATATGTATACAAAGACGTCGTCTCTACGACAATCAATTAATCATTACTCGTATTTTGGTTCGTAGATTTTGTAGATTTTGTTCGCGTATGAGCACAACTTTTCATTTGTCATGCCGCGTTCAATTCAGCTTTTTACGCAGGCAATACACAATTTTTAATGCAATAAAATAGTGTTATTTTAGAAATAGAAAGTTAAAAAACAACAAAAATTTAAAAAATAATGACATTTACAATTAACGATCAGATACTACAGTTTAATTTTATATTCGAAATTTATTTTGATTCACAAAATACTGAAAAAAAACATCAATTTGTGTCTATAGAGAGGGACCGTCCCTTTGCGCTCGAATTCTGAACGAAAAATCGGCTTTTTCTCCGGCCACAGTTGTCTTTGAAAAGTAAGACTATTAAGTTTTATATCAAGAAAAAAAAAATCTTATAATAAAAATGAAAATAAAATACTGCGCCGTAATTTTTTTTATTTTACATTTCTTGTTTGTTTCAAAAAACATCACGGACATCTTATTTTAAGCTAATAAATACAGGGTAGGATGCTACGATCTGGATATCATTGAATTTAACAATTGGTTTAAATTCGGGTTTCAGTTTGATATTTATTGATATCTTAAACCAAATGTCAAAGGAAACAAAAAGGGGTTAAATTGCTTGAAATTGAGCTTGAATTGCGCAAAACTGATAGAAATTACAAGGCTCTCAAGTTTTCAACAGAATCCACTTGAGTTGAAAACCATAGTCAAAATTCTAATAATTTAGCTATTTTCAAAATTAAGGACTAATAAAATATACTTTTTTTTCTCAAAAAAATGTAATTTTTTAAATAGCTAGTGATTTTCCCTAAAAGTAACTTTTTGATTTTGTCATTGAGTTAATACAAGAAATTGTTAGAATTTAACACTTCTTGAAGTTAGTTAAAAAATAAATGAGTAACCGAAATAAATGAAGCTCATGTTGTTTATCAAAAAAAGATTATACTTACACATGATTAAAGCATATCAAATAGTTGGGATACTACTAAGAGACGAATCTTTTTCTTCGTGTTTTCCACTGAAAAATTGCCTCATTTCCATTCTTTGTCGCTACTAGCTACCATTTTTAGCTTTTCAAACTAAGGCTTTTAAAAAATGTGGTTTTGAGAAACAAAAAATCAGGGCCATTTAACATTTTTTAAAACACTGATTGGCCGTCGTTTACACTTCACTATGCATTAAAAAATCCTTTAAAGTACTTTTAGCTTAAAAGTAAAAAACGAGGAAGATTTGTTTGACAAATTGAAAAAAAAAATTCGAACATACAACTAATTGAAAATATTCAAATATACAACTAATTGAAAATATTCGAATATACAACTAATTGAAAATATTCGAATATACAACTAATTGAAAAGGTTTGCTGTAAAATATTAAGGTCAGAGTGTCCCACGAAACATGACATTTAAGAAATAGTTATTTTTAGTTAAACAAATCTTTTGCCTAATTATACTTTACTTCGAAATCAATTTTAATATAACATGACTCCCAAATAATATTTTCAGTGATCTTTGGTATCAAACAACTGAACAAATAATGGATAAAGACTTTTTAAGCTATTCACCAACTGTCATGTTTCGTGGGACGTATTAAATTTAAATATACTGAAGTTTTTTTTTATTTTAAATTATAGGTTCATTAGTTAAAAATGTGTTTATTTATATCATCATAAATTAACATAAAAACTAAAACCGTAAAAATAAACATCTGTCAAAAAATCTTTAATTTTGTTTGGATGACTTTGTATACCCTATACAGTATAAACAATACTCTGTAACTTTTAATCTGTACCCAGTATTCTGTACTCTGTACCCTGCACTCTGTACTCTGTACTCTGTACTCTGTACTCTTTATGCTGTACCCATTAATCTGTATACTATAATCTGTACCCGGTACCCTGAAATCTGTACCCTGTACCCTGTACCCTGTACTCTGTACCTTTTACCCTGTACCCTGTACCCTGTACCCTGTACCCTGTACCCTGTACCCTGTACCCTGTACCCTGTACCCTGTACCCTGTGCCCTGTACCCTGTACCCTTCACCCTGTACCCTGTACCCTGTA